ATACATTATTGAACCCATCTTACTCAGTCTCTCTCCAACCACAAGGACAGTCCCATTCTACAACAGTGGCACCATGCAATATTTGTCCCTTTGTGACTGGGACATTTCACTCAGCATAATCTTCTCCAGAGTCAACCTTTTTTTTTTTCCGTACATCATATTTTTTTTATTAAATTTTATTAGTTTTAATGAAAATTTACAGGGATTTTGGGTTTTCATTCCTTCCATTTTGAGTAATATTGCATGAGTTCTTTGTTTTTTAATGTAGCATAGTATTCCATTGTGCGGATATACCACAGCTTCTCTAGCCATTCATTTGTTGATGGGCACTTAGGTTGTTTCCAACTCCTTGCTATTGTGAACAAAGCTGCAATAAACATGGGTGTGCATGGCTGCAATAGTTCTGACTTTAGTTCACTCAACCCAGAGGAAGAGTGGAATTGCTCCTAGAAACTTTGTCATAAGAATTAGGAAATACCTTCCTGTAAGCTTCTCGCACATGTGTTGCTAAACATCTCATTACAATCTGGCTTGAGTTGACTCTCATGCACTTTCCAGAGTGTATTTTAATAAATTACAGAAGCCGTTTATTTCCGCTTTCTCATATGGAGCAGGTACTTAGTCCAAATCAACGACCTTATGCTTAGCAGCTGAGTGCTTTATCCACTGCACTGGAGCCCCTTAGTTCAGGGATAGGCAAATCTGCACCATTCATTAAGATGTCAGGACTGGGTGATCCTCAAGGTGAGGTTCCAGCTCAGGCGCAGCAGCACCTGCGAAATTGTTAAAAATGCTGAATTGGAAACACTGGGGATAGGGCTCATCAATCAGTATGCTTTTATGGACTTGCCTGGTGATTTGGATGCAGAGTAAAGTAAAAGCTATAGATACAGGCTGGTCACAATTCATACCCTTAAGTTATTAAATGGTCACACAGTGGAAACAAAGGTGATCACAACCACAGTGACCACTCCACCTTCATAGCACTCATCACAATTTTTTATTTTTGCCTTGTTTTGCTCTTACTTGTTTAATGTCTGCTTCCTACAGTATTTTGAGCTCCATAGTGACAAGTACACAGTATTGATGTTTCCACGGTTACCTCACAATGCTTGCCTAGTATATGGTAAATGCTCAGTAAATTCTTGGTGGGGGGAAAAATAATTTTCTTAAGTACTTTGAGTTTACAGGGAATTCTGGGGAGTCAGCTGGTTGCTGTGGTTATTTGATTAGGTGGTATAGAGAGTGAATGAGTGATAAAATAGCACGGGTTAGGATCGGTTAGGGAGCTCTGGTTACCTACTCGATAGTGACTTGTGGGCCGTGTCAAGGGCAGGCTATCCGAATCCACCAGCAGCTCCACAGGGGGGGATGCCAGTCTCTCCCCGTGTGATTAACAGCCACTGCAAGCCTACGTGACTGATGGATCTTTAAGAGGAGTGTAAGGAGAAGAATCGTATGTGTTCTCAGTACTGCTAAACCGGTTGAGTTCTTTTATCTTGTTGAAAGTCTGTAGGAATGGCAACAGGAGTGCCTGTCGAGGGGCCTGTGGTCAGTGTGTTCTCTATTCTTGCACAGCTGGAGGTGATGCGTGTGTACAGTCTTACCTCAGCGGGCAGCCCTTTGAAGACTCTCAGCTGAGCATGCTGGCCTGCTTCCTTGTCTACCACTCAGTGCCTGCTCCACGCCACCTCTCGTGTATTGGACTTGAAGGTAACCTCACACAGAATCCTCTTTTCAGCGCCTTATTTCTGACTCATGCTTTGAGTTTCTTGGTGGGGTAGATCTCTAGTGAGTTGTTTTCTAGTTAGGCTTCATTTCCCTTCATGTCTTAGTTCACTATTGATAACTTTTTTCTAGATAAACTATTTCAACTTTATGCCCAAGTTTTCATTTCTATATAGAAAGGATAGGTTCTTCACAGAGCCGTAAACATCATCCTATCCTTAATAAATTAAATGTTCATATGATTGTTCTGTTTTTATTAAAGTTATTTTTCTTCATTTTCTGCACTTACAGAGGTTATTTTAATCATATGGTCTGGATTTTTAATACTGTGAAGCTTTAAAATTATCAAGTGCCAATTTTGCATGTGTTTGCATTTTCCCCATAATTGTTGTTGTTGTTGTTATGTGCCATTGAGTTGCTTGTCACTCATAGCGACCCTATGTACAAGAGCCCTAAACACCGTTTTACCCTGTGCCAACCTCGCCGTCTCAAACACACTCATTCCCACCACTCCACTCACAGAATCGATCCACCTCATCGAGGGTCTTCCTCTCCTGTGCCATCACTCCACTCTCCCAAGCATAATGTCCCTCTCCTCCTTGCAACATGCCCAAAGTATGTCAGATGAAGCTTTGGAATCCTTGACTCCAAGGAGCATTCTGACTTCACCCTCTCCAGGACAAACCTGTTTGTTCTCCTAGCAGTCAACACTTCTCTAGTACCACAGCTCAAAGGCATCAGTTCACTTTCTATCATCCCTATTCACTGTCCAACGCTTCGATGCATACATAGCACGTAATTTCAAAGACTGTAGCCTGGATCCAGGCGCACATTAGTCTCCAGCCTGACGTCGTTGCACTTCAGTACTCTTGAGAGGTCCCTCACAGCTGACTTTCCCAGTGCAATTCGTCTCCTGATTTCCTGGCTGCTATTACCAAGAGTGTTGACTGGGGGGCCATGTAAATTAAAACTGTTAACTATCTCAATCTCTTCACCATCCATACTGATGCTGCCTATTGGCCCAGTGGTGAAAATCTTTGTTTTCTTGATGTTGAGCATTGTTTTTTAAAAAGAACAATGTTAATATCTGACTATACATTTTAGAATATAGGATTAGATACAGACTCTGTCCAGTAAGTTGGAAAAAATAGCATTATTATAAATTTTGTTAATTATTTATTTAAATGGTTTCCAGGTCTCTGCCCCTCAACTGAGTGTGCAGAAAGAAAGAAAAAAAAATACTTGAGAAGGGTGACTCTTGCTGCTTTTATTCTTTTGAATTTAAATTTTAGCACCACTTTTTAAAATTTCTACATGTGTGATTTATTATTGACCTTAATTTGTTGAGTTGTGCAGCTGTTTCCAACCTCCTTTTCTGACTCACTGACCAGAGCAACATGATTTTTTTACTTTTTTAAAAATTTCAGACAAAAATGCACCATATAAAGACTTAGTTCTGGCTTGAATTAAATGGTTTGTACTGGACTGACTCACAAAAATAGATACAAGAACTAGATAGAATGCATAAGAGAAATTAATAGCCATCAGGCTTCCTCAGTATGCATGTAAAAGTTGAACAATGAATAAGAAAGATCAAAGAAGAATAAGTACCTTTGAATTATGAATATTGAATATAGCATGGATTTCCAAAAGAACAGAAAAGTTGTTCTGGAGGAAGTATAGCCAGAGTGCTTCCTAGAAACAAGGATGGATGGTGAGGCTTTGTCTCACCTTCTTTGGGCATGTGATTAAGAGGGGTCAGTCCCTGGAGAAGGACATCCTGGTTGGTAGAGGGTCAGTGAAGAAGAAGGAGCCCTCAGTGACACGGACTGACAAGGTGACTGCAGTGGACTTAAGCTAAGAATAGACGTTGGCAGTCACACAGGACCCGGCAGTGTTTTGTATGGTGTCCACAGGGTTGTGCTGGATCAGACTTGACCCCCCAGTCCCTGACAGCAGCAGTATGCTGGCAGGACGTGACTGAGGGCAGCCATCCGTCAGAGAAGAAAAGCACCAAGAAGATAAGTTTCCTGTTTGTTCTGATTTCTCTCCCAGAGGCATTGCCAGTTAGTACAAAAAGGAAAGCCCCAGCAAATAGCAACACTGTTAGTAGGCTGAGGAGGCAGAGGTCAGTGTTAATGATTGCCCAAAAGCCTGGGACTTGAACAAAATTGAGAGAGAGAGCTGTACGAACAAGAACTCGGAAACCTGGATGCTTCCTCTCCCATTAAGCATTTACCAGATTTTAACCTCCAGATGCAAAGGATGAGAAGAAATGTAGCAGAGACCAGAGGCTAAAAATGTGCGCCAAGGTTTCAGCAGCATAATATTGAAGCATTTACAGGTAGAATTCAAGGTGTGCTGAGGGGCATGGCAATACACTCAAAGCATTCTGGTGAGAAACAATATCAGGATGAAGCATTGAGAGTAAAGGTAACACTGAAACAGAGCAGTACTGAGGTCCTGGACCAGAACTGAGGATCTGTGTGGAGCCTACAGGGAAATTGTAACTTCCTAAGGAGGAGGAAAACATTTTCATAGCCTGTGAAAATTATAATAGTCTTCAGCATTCAGCCAAATGACCAGATATAACAAGAAATAAGACTAAATAATCAAAAAGCAAAAGGAACAAAACCAGATAATAGACGCAGACTCATATATAATCTAGATAGTGTTGTTGAGGTTGTTGATTGCCTTTGAGTCAAGCACGACTCCTAGTGACCCTATGAATAAAAGACCTGAAGCCTTTCTATAACTATCGACATTTAGCAAAGTTCATAGAGTTTCCAGAGGCATGTTGTTTAGGAAGTGGATTAGAGTTAATTATATTGGAGACTGGGACTTAAAATTATTTTGTTTAGTATTTCCAAGAATAGAATATCATTAGAAATCTGGAATCAAGACAAAAAAGTTAGAAATTTTAGAACTAGAAAATATAACCTGAAATAAAGAATTAATTATGTAGACTGGACTTATTATTAACTACAAGCAGTAGACTGGTGAACAAACTAAAAGATATTAATAGAATGTCGGCAAGTTGAAACAGAAAAATGAACAGGAGTATAGGAAAGAGTGGAAGAGGTATGTGAGACACAGTGGAGAAGTCAAACATATATGGTATTGGAAACCCAGAGTAACAGGAGAGAGAAAACATTGGAAATCATATATTAAGAGAAACAGACTAGGAATTTTGGAAACTGGATGATAAATGCCAAGTAGACTCCTAACAAGCTGAATAGGAAGAAATCCAGGCTTGGTCATCCATCCATAGAGCTCTGGTGGCCTATTGGTGAGGATTTGTTGCCAACCCAAAGGAAGGAGGTTCAAATCCACCAGCTGCTTTGTGGGAGAAAGATGAGCCGTTCCCTCCTATATGATTTTCAGCTGCTGAAAACCCACTAGAGGTTCAGCTATGAGTTGGTTCCAACTTGGCAGCACATAGCAGTGATACAATAGCCAAACTACTGAAAAGAGGGACATTTTCAAAGCATTGATCTCTTCCAGCTAGGATGAAGTAACGGACCTGATTTATTCCTCTCCCTAACACAATCCCAAAAGAAAAAGTAAAAATCACAACTCTACAATACATATGAAATGATGGTTTTTAAGATATGGAATGTCTAAAACAATAGAAATTAAATTGTTAGAGATCAAAAAAATGGAACGTCTAAGAAGAAAATGCATTGGATAGGATAAATGGAAGATTTGATATTGCAGAATAAAAAAATTAGTGAACTTGAAGACATGGTAGAAAATATGGGAAGAGATTGTCCATCTTTCTCCCATGAAGCCACTGGTGCATTTGAACCACATAGCCCTGGATAGGCAGTGCAGTTCCTAACCACCAAGCCACCAGAGCTAACCATATAGAATTATAGTATTCATAATTTCAGATTAGCACTTTCTGAAGTACAGAATGGGTACATTAAAGTTTCTAATCAAACATTTCACCATGCACTGGGAAAATGAATAAATATTTTCCTTAAGGAATTGTTTAACAAAGGGGAAATGCCTGTTTTAAATGGGATTGTGTCCCTATAGTATACTTGAAGGGGTATGTATGGCTGAATTTATTCAGAGATGTGACCTTTGTCCCCCATTTCTCCTTCCTTAGGGAGCTCAAGCTTTGCTGAACTGCTTTTCAAATTCAAACAGCTGAAAATGCCAGTGCGAGCTTTGTTGCGATTGGCTCCTCTGTTCCTTGGAAACCCACAGCCGATGGTTATGTAACCCTGTGGTACACTTGCCCCAGAATGTGACTTCTGCTACAAACATCAGAGCTTTAAAGGGGAGAAGAAATATGTCAATGTTAGAATGTGACCAGAGGGAACAAGCCACACAAATCTCATGTATTTTAAAATCCAAGTGTCTCAAAAGCTCCAGGGAAGGTGTTGCTGTCAGCATTGACATTGTGTGCTTTATAAAACCGAGTTCACATTTGCTTTTATAAATAAAGTTTTTGGTTTGCTTTCAGAACTCGATGATTGCTTTAGGTTTGGGCTGTAGAGAAGTAATAGAGTGGTTAGCACAAAAGTGGATAATGAATTGTAAAATCTTTGAATTAAAGGTAATTCAGATGAAATTAATTTATGCTCAAAACCAGAAAGTTTATTAAGAAACTAGGTCAAAAAGTTTACTTTCTGCAGCAACAAATGAATTTTCATAATTTGCCAAAATATTACAGGTTGTCTGTTTTAAATCAGTTTTGTTTCTCATTATATAATATCCTTAAACAGGAGATTTTTACCCAAAGAATTGCCCCAAATGAAAGTTTCTAAGGCTCTTCAGAAACTGTACAAAATTAAATTAAAGGCAGTCCATTTCCAATCAAGATTTAGGCACTTTGTTCCATGGATTTAGGGACTAGGAGGTTATAAAATATATTCCTCCACTCTTGGGTCTCCAGCACAGGGAACAAACCTCTCTGCTGTTCTGATGCTGCTGGCTGTCCTTGTTCTGTGCTTTCTGCATGGCCAGGGGAACAGTAAACCCATGGAAATAGCAATCCCTGTCCACTTAAGATGTCTTTCACATCTTGAAATGTGAGTCTTAGCTTTAAAAGTAAACATTAAAGCAAATGGAAATATGTCCCATGAACTTTTGGCAAACTCTTGTGACATTTGCCTGTGCTGAGGGACCTGCTTTTGGAAAGGATGTACCTGGAAGTGAGTGGTGTTCCCCAATCCTGTACCATCTGTGGGCCTTCCCTAAAAGGCTTGTTCTTGGGTCTGATGAGTAGACAGGGTATGGCTTAGTGGTTCAGACATATCTCTTCATGGTTTTTCTTCTAAAATAAGATGATGATTTAGAAAGTCCATTTGAATCAAGACTATTGAGAACTCAATAGTTGGGTAACTGTTACTATCTCAGGGGTTTAGGATTTGGGTGTTTTTATTTGACTAAAGAGTAACTTGAGACATTTAGTTTGTTATTTGTACACAGATTCGCTCTTTAGTATGAAAAAGAAGTCATGGCAAGCTCTGATGGTCTAGTGGCAAGAAGATGCACTGCAATCCCAGAGGTACGTGGTTCGAATCCACCAGATGCTCTGCTGGAGAAGAAGGGACATTCTCCACCTGTACCAGTTAAATCCAATTTGACAGTACATAACACACACACAACTAATAATAATAGTAAATTTAAAAATAAAACAAACCCAAGAGCAGTCATTAGAATGCGGTCAACAAACAAGTTTCACATAGATCATCAACCGAAAATGTGGGTCAGTGTGTACGTACCTCAGATTGAAGGAAGGATCCTTAACAAGGCCTCCGTTCTGACCCACATTCCTAGCTGCAGTCATCTTGTTCCTCAAGATATAGATGAGGCCTGCTCACACTCGCACCTGTGCTCTGTGTAGTTTCTGAAAATCCCTAGGACAGGGCGAGGGTCTGTCTGCAGTACCACCTCAGTTCTAGTTCCCACATCTATTGCTCCACTTTGTTTGCGGCTCATCTCCCTGCCCCCTGTGTGCAGGCTGGTTGTCACCTCTGAATTTTCTCCGCTTCCCCTCTGCCTCCTTGGTCTGAGACTAGGCCTCCTATCTGGCGCAGGTTAGTGTTGACTGCTGCGAGGCCCCCTAAAGGAGGAAGAGGAGGAAACACTCTGCAAAACCCCTGGAGGGTCAGCGATGAGTCAGTTCTGACTCAGTGGTACATAACAATGTCAGTTGAGGCATGTGCGTAGGCCTGAGCTGGTGGTGTGCTGGCTGATGGGAGCTGGTACTGGTAATGGTGGTGCTCAGCCCCTGGGGCAGGTTGTTTTCCCAGCTTCTCTATTGCTTCAGAAGTCCCAAGTCCATGTGTAGACATCCTTTCTTTTTCAAATTCTGTTCTCTACAGTACTCTTCGTATTTTTGTCCCTCACCTTTTCTTCTTTTTAAATCAGATTGTTGTCTGCAGTCAAGTTGCCTATGACTCATAATGACCCCGTGTACAACAGCTCTGAAGCCTGTCCTGTCCTGACAGTCTCTGACTCCAGCTCACCTACCCCATTATCCTAGTTACTGTATCAACCCATCTCATCTAGGCTCTTCCTCTCTTGTGCTGTCCCTCCACCCTTCCGAGCATGATGTCTTTCTCCAAGGACTGGTCTCTCCTGGCCACATGCCCAAAGTATGTGAGATGGAGCATCAAGATCCTAACCTCCAAGGAGAAACTTAGTTTCACCTTCTCCAAAACATACACAGATTTGTTTTGTTTTTACATAATTGTGGTTTTGAGTGATTGTTTATAAATCATACTGCATTTTCTTAAAATCATATATAATCCAAGTTTTCTGTAAACTTTTTAAAAAAATCATAATAAAAAATTATAAAAAATATTTTACAACATTAATTGCAGTTGATATAATTAATTATGTCTAACTCCTTATTTAGGGAGTTCTGGTGGGTTGTGTTTTTTTTTTTTAATTTAAATTTGTTTATTGTGCAAGCAAGATTCTACTGAAGATTATCCAAAAACGATTAGAACAGCACATCAGCAGAGAACTGCCGGAAGTCCAGGCTGGGTTTAGAAGAGGTCGTGGTACTAGGGATATTGTTGCTGATGTTAGATGGATCTTGGCTGAAAGCAGAGAATACCTGAAGAATGCCTATCTGTGTTTCATTGATTATGCAAAGGCATTTGACTGTGTGGATCATAACAAACTGTGGCTGACTCTGAGAAGAATGGGAATCCCAGAACATTTAATTGTGCTAATGCGAAACCTGTACTTGGACCAAGAGGCAGTAGTCAGAACAGAGCAGGGTAACACTGCATGGTTCAGAATTGGGAAGGGTGTACGCCAGGGATGCATCCTGGCTCCATACCTTTTCAACATGTATGCAGAGCAGATTATCCGAGAGGCTGGGCTCTATGAGGAGAATTGTGGCATCAGGATTGGTGAAAGATCTATTAACAATCTGCGTTATGCAGATGACACAACCCTGCTTGCTGAAACTGAGGAGGCCCTCATGCACTTGCTGCGAAGGGTCAAGGACTGCAGCCTTCAGTATGGACTGAGGCTCAATGTCAAGAAGACAAAGATTCTCACCACTGGACCAATTGGCAGCATCAGGATGGATGGCGAAGAGATTGAGATTGTTCAGAGCTTCAGTTTGCTCGGCTCCACAGTCAACACTCTTGGCACCAGCAGTCAGGAAATCAAAAAGCGTATTGCGATGGGAAAGTCTGCTGTTAGGGAGCTCTCTAAAGTACTCAGGAACAACGGTGTCTCTCTGGAGACTAAGGTGCGCCTGATACAGGCCATGGTATTTGCAATCGCTTGTTATTCATCAGAGAGTTGGACAATGACTAGGGAGGACAGAAGGAGAGTGGATGCTTTTGAGCTGTGGTGCTGGAGAAGAGTACTGAATGTACCATGGACTGCCAGGAAAACAAACAGATTCATCTTGGAGAGGATTAAACCAAGCTACTCCTTGGAGGCAAGGATTCTGGGGCTTCGTCTGACATACTTTGGGCATGTAGCAAGGAGGGACGGGTCCTTGGAGAGGGACATCATGCTTGGGAGGGTGGAGGAACAGCACAGGAGGGGAAGACCCTCTATGAGGTGGATTGATTCAGTGACTGGGGTAATCGGGATGGGTGTGTCAGAGGCAGTGCGGTTGGCGCAGCATAGAGCAGGGTTTAGGGCTGTTGTGCATAGGGTCACTATGAGTCGAAAATGACTCGACGGCACATAACAACAACAACATTGTGGGAAATATTTTTTTATTTCCATTAATTCATTGTTACACACTCCTCCCTGCCCACTCCTACCCGCACCCCCCCAGTTAGCTTTTCTCTTTGACAAGTAAAAAAAATTTCATTGTTATACACTATGCAGCTTTCATTCTGAACCTTTGTCATGACAATAATACCTAATCATATATTCCTCCTCATCTGTTTTAATGCAGTATACATTATTTATCCCCTCTTAGTTTACCCCCAACTCCAATGTCAGACCTGCTTTTACAACAGTGGCACTATGCAGTATTTGTTGTTTTGTGACTGAGGTATTCCACGCAACATGTCCTCCAGGGTCACCCATTTTGTATAATATTTCATGAGTTCCTTATTTTTCAACTAATGGCTTATTGGTAAAGAGTTGTGTTGCTATCCCAAAGGCATGTGGATTGAATCCACCAGGAGAGATGGGCATTCTCTCATGTGATTCAGTGTCTCTGAGAACCCACTAGAGGGTCAGCTATAAGTTCAGTGGTACACAACAACAATAACAACAACCCTTTTATTACGTATGTATTGCCACTCCCTTAACTCGCCTATTAATTTTACTTCCCTCGCCTCCTTCCCCCTTCCTTCTGTCCTCCATGACGGATTCTGTGTATGGACCTTGCTTAGCTTTTTATGATGGTAGTCTTACACAGTAATTGTCTTTTTGTGATAACTTATATCACTGAACATAATTTGCATTTGATCCATATGTGTTGTGCACTATTTCATGAATTCTTCCTTTTAGTGATACATAACATTCTAATTTTGTACCATGCTTGCTTTAGGCAGTTGTCTATTGATAGAAACTTGGGTTGTTTCCAGCTCTTTACTGTGGTCAATAATGCTGCAGTAAACATGAGTGTGTGTGTGTCAGTTTGTGTCACAGCTCTTATTATAGTAGTGAGGTTGCTAGATCAAATGGTATTTCTAGCCCCGGCTTTCAAAGGAAGCGCCATACTGCTTTCAGTGGTGATTGTGCATTTTACATTTCTACCAACAGTTCATTAGAATTGCAGTATTTCTA